CCCTGGCCGCTCCCAGGAGACTGGTAACCAGCCAAGCGCAGGGAGCAGTCTGTGTGTCTGAGCACGGGCACTGCCGTCCGTGGAGCAGCTTTTCCCAGATGGGCTGAATTCCTGCCCCCATTGCAACTCACTGTGACTGCACTGGGCCAGCATTCCACCCCAGGGAGACGATGTATTGGAGAGTGTAAAATGGGGCTCCCTTTAGCACCCCCAGGTTCCCCCAGCCAGACCCATCCTCACATCCTCGGCCCTCCCCCTAAAACCCCCTGCCCCCCATCCCCAGACCTCCCCCTAACTCCCACTCACCCCCCTGCCACCCACATCCCCGGGCCTCTCCCTAGGAGCACAGTGGGTTGGAGAGTGAGTGCAGAGGCCTAGTGAAGCTGAAATTGAAACTGCAGGTATAGGGCCGACCAGCTCTAGGGTTGCCACCTTTCTAATGGCTGGTAACCTGACTCCTGAGGCCCCTCCCCCACCCCACAACTTCCCTCAAGGCCCTGCCCCACCTCTTCCCCTAAGACCCCACCCTTGCTCCTCCTCTTCCGACCTAGATAAAAAACCCAGACATCAGCGCTTGTTAAATGGCACCCGGACACACAAGCCAAAACCGGGACTGTCCAGGTGAAAACCAGACTGGTGGCATCACTAACTGGCTCATTCAGGGGAAAATCAAACCTGGGTTAACCGTGGGGAGTTGTTTGGGGCTGGAGTTCATCAGTTATGTTTTGGAAACCTGCCAGAATATGAGGCTTTGCCAGGGCATCTGAAGGTCTCTGAGCCACCCTCTCCCAAGGGATGCAGGAACTGCTCGCGTCACGACAGGGAGGTTTACCAGATGTCGCATACAGTCCCGGGTTACCTCCACTGTAGTAGCGTGAGGAGTTCCCCATGTGTGTTTTTAGCAGCAGTGGGGTGTTGTGCAACTTCTCCTCCTTAAATCATTTCTGATCCTCCTGCTCTGAGAGAGCAGACCGAGCAGCGTGTCTATTAAGCGCTATTTTCAGTCTTTCTCCTGCTTGCAAGGGAATCCAAATAACACTTTTTTATTGTCTTCTAAATTAAACAGATTTATAGAGAGGATGCTAGGGCTTGTCAGAAAATTGATTTTACATCCTAAGAAAAAATGTTGAAATTTCAAAATAAAACAAAAAAAACCACCTTGTCCTGAACTGGGGCAACATTTTAAATTTTTTTTGCTAAACGAAATTCTGAAAATAACATTCAGAATTTGGATCGATCAAAACCTTTCATTTCAGTTTTGACCTTTTTTTTTTTACTTTTTAAATATAAAATGAAATAGATTTAGAAAGGAAAAGTCATTTTACAAGGAAAAATCAAAATGGTTAATTATGAAAATGTTGAAACCGGGTGTTTTAAAATGTTTTCCCCATTTTTTTTTCAAAATGAAATTTAATCAAAATCTAAATGAGTTGGTGCAAAACGTTGGTTTTGTCCAAATGGCACTTTCTGAGAGAACACTAGTTTGACATAAACTTCCCAGCCAGCTGTAGATGCTACAGCATTCTGTGTGGATGACACATGTGACACTGATCAATCTAAAATCCTCTGGAGTCCCCTCACGAGACAGGGATTGTGCATTTTGCACTATCCTCCACATTTGTAGTGTCTGCCCCAATTAGTTGCACTTTCCACAGCTTGTGAACTAGAACCAACAGTTGTTTGCATCATGAGACTATTTGCTACAAGGAAAGCAGTCTTTGAGTGTTCGCCCTGTTGTGCTTTCTTCTTAACCTCCTGCTTTATTTGTTGTACATGATGCTGTTGCCGCTTCCTGGCATCTTTAGTAGGTGCCTCCATTGATGCATCAATTTCCAGTGCACATTTTAGGGTCAAATCAGCCTTGGTCAATAATCGTTCTTGGTTTGCTTCATTTTCCTTAGGATTGTCCTGGAGTTGCCAGGAGTTAAAGATTAATCATTAATTAAAGATTATGTCATGTGATGAAAGCTCCAGGAATACGTCCAGTCAAAACTGGCAACCCTACGATCTCAAAATCCATCATTTAACCTTCTCCACACTCGCAATGCTCTGTTAATTTCCTTGGTCCAGCTACAAATTCAGGGATGATTTCAGTTCTTTTTGACTCCATGTATAAAAGTGGAAATTCTCTGCAACTCCCAGTGGCTTTGGGGAGAGGCGACTTGATAGAATTTCCAGAATTTCGATGAATGTTTTGTCTGCTGGTTCAATGGGGGCTCACAGGCTCCACAGCAGGTTTGATGTTTTAACGCCTGTTTCACGTAGTATAACAACCACTGTGTTCTCATCACTGATCCCATGAGCCATTCTACACACTTCCAGCCTCTCTAGTTGGGTGGGCCTTGCCTCTGCTGAGCTCGGAGATGAGCTCATTTTCCCCAAACAGCCTTGTTTTCCCCTAGCTGAGCAGGTCCCTCAGAGGGAGGGGCTGCAGGCTGCAGTTTCACTCCCAGAGGCGTATGTACTTGCCCTGTGTTCCTGGATTAGGATCCCATCCCCATCATCAATTACTGTGTCTTTTGCTCTTTAGTGCAAGGGAACAACACAGGTATGGTGGGCCCCAAGTAACTGGGTTTACTAATTATATGCAATAGGCCAAGCCTGTCACATACACCCTGCTGCTCTGGAAGGGCTCTGGAACGCAGAACACAATGAATGCCATGGCAGTGCTCTCCCTATTCCTGGGCAGTGCAGCTAGCCTATTAAACCTGTTTGCTAATATGCTTCACCTTGTAAAAGCTGAGGAGCTCTGACTCTGTGCTAGATTCCTGGCCAAACGGGGCTCTCCACAGCAGGAACGGACAGGAGCAGGCTACCGGGTGGAGATGTCATTGCACAGGGCAGTCCTGTACCTCTCATTAGCACACATGGTATGTGGGCATTCATTACTCTGGTCTGGCCAGATGTGCATTGCGAGAGGCTCAGCTGGTGCTCACTGGCGATCTTCTTGATAAATTTTTTTTCTCAGAGCCGCTGCTATCTTCTGAGATCTAAAGGGGCAAAGACATGGAAGAGATTCTTAGGCCTGGTCCCCACTTAGTCCGGACTTCGGACTAAGGTACGCAAATTCAGCTACGTTAATAACGTAGCTGAATTCGAAGTACCTTAGTCCGAACTTACCGCGGTCCAGACGCGGCCGGAAGTCTCCCCCCGTCGACGCCGCGTACTCCTCTCGGCGAGCTGGAGTACCGGCGCCGACTGTGAGCACTTCCGGGATCGATCCGGGATCGATTTATCGCGTCTTAACCAGACGCGATAAATTGATCCCAGAACATCGATGGCGTGCCGCCAGACCAGCCGGTAAGTGAAGACTAGGCCTTAGACATGTGACGCATTCCAGATGTGTGGGAGTCGAGATAACCAACAAAACTACAGTGGCCTCCGCTCCCCAAGGTTTGTAGTTTGTCCATTACACCTGTTCCTAATGGGCTCTTTCAGATGCTTTCAATATAAATGAAGAGAGAAGTGAGTTCCCTTCTCTACCTGCTGCATTGGGCACCTGCTCTCATGACTGCAGACCCCCTGGGCTTTCATTTCAACCTCATTTTTATGGGGCGTGTTCTACCCAATGCTGAATACTGAGCTTCAAGCTGGGAACCAATCTGGGCCCACGCATTGGTGGGAGAGTTCTGTTAGCAGGACCCTAAGTGCCTTTCCCTCACCCAGAGCAAAGTAAATGAGAGCAAACGCTGGGATGCCCTGAATGCTGAAGAGAAAAGCGCTCTCCAGTCCAAGTGTCTCTAGATTCTTCCAAGCAGTGAGGCAAAGAGGAGGTTGGGGGACAGGTGTGGTGACCTGGCCAGGCAAAGCTTTGCTAACTGTGAGGGGAGGCAGAGATAAATCTAGATCAAGGGGATCATTTTATCTTTTTAGAACCTTATAGAGGAAACCCCAAAATTGTACCAGAAGCAGAAATAATACAGAACATTACCAAAGACTTACTATTTATAATAATAGGTTCCCAACTCACTAATCTATTGTGAGATTGTACAC